CGAGGTCGCCCCAAACAGCAGCCTAGATCGAGCTCAGCCCGAACCGGGCTCCGGCCCGGCCTCATCTAGTCCGTTGGCGAGCCCTGGCGAGCCCCCCGCGTCCTGACAGCCGCTTTCTATGGAGCTCTCGCTGCCCGTGCTCTCGCCCGACAGCAGCCGGGTGACGCGCAGGTCGGCCCGCAGGCTCTGCACGTCGTTGCCGATGCCGAGCTCGCCGAGGTCGCCGATGAGCCGCGAGAGCTCGCGCTCCCCGTCGGCCGGGGACCCGGCTAGCAGCAGTGCGCCGGAGCGCCGCGGGTGCGGCGCGTCCAGGAGGTCCCCACACTCCAAGGGCGAGGCCCCGAGGGGAGGCTGGAGCTGCGCCTCCCCGTCGGCCTCCACGTCCCCGCTCTCGCCGTCCAGGGGCAGGTCCAAGTCTAGGGCCAGGTCATCCTCGTCCTCGCCGTCGTGGGGGGGGCCGGGGTCCTCGTCCGCGTCGCCCACGAGGTGCTCTCCCTGCTGCTGCTGCTGCGACTCCCGCTGCTCGCCCAGCAGGTCCTCCGTGATGGAGCCCAGCTTGGGCGCGCTGCGGCTCCGCTCCACCGGAGGCTTGTAGCAGCTGGGCCCGTGCAGCAGGAGCTTTCGGAGGGGCACCAGCGGGATGCTCTGCTCGCCCACCAGCTGCTGCTGCTGGTGGCGCGCGTCGTCGCGCCGCTTGAGTCTTTTGAATTCGGCCAGGGCCGTGGCCGACGTCTGGTAGAGCAGCAGCGCCATGGCCTTGGCCTTCTCGGCCTTGGACACGAGCACCGCATGGCAGCGAAGCATGACGGCTTTGTGTTTCAGCTCGTGCCGGTAGATCCAGGCGAAGACCTTGGGCAGGCGCGGGTCCGCCACGCAGTAGGTGACGCGGTGCAGCAGGTACAGGTGGCCCGGCCGCTTGAGCGCCTGGTCGTCGGCGTGCACCATGCGGATGCCCTGCGCGCTGATGGTCAGCTTCATCTTGGTGCCGTGTTTGCCCGCCTCGCTCTTGCCCCAGATCTTACCCACCGCCAGGTCGGTGCAGCCGTCGCCGCGCGACTGGATGGTGGTCGCGTTGCCCAGGTACAGCACAGTGTACGTGGGGTCCTCGCTAGTGATCTTGACCTTCTTCCGCTTCGACTTGAACATGCTGCCCACCCGGGTGAGGGCACTCTCCGGGCACGCCTTGGCCAGCGACGTGAGCGCCGAGTAGTTGAGGCTCACCGCATAGCCCTTGGCCTTCGCCGCCTGCTTGGGGTCCTCCTCGATCAGCTCGAATTTGTTTCTCTTCCACGGCAGCATCTCCCCGCTCTCCGCAGCTGGGGTCCGAAAAGGCAGGCGGAAGGGCAGAGGAGGCGGGCGGGCCGGGGAGCTCCCCCCGGGGCAGAGGAAGAGAGGGATGGGAGAGACGCTCGCGGAGGGCTCTGCCGGCCGTCGGCCTGGCCCCTCTTTACCGCATCTTGGCCCTCAGGAACAAAAGAGGACCCTGGGCTGCGGGGATGGGGCTCCGCGTGGCTCCCGTCGGCTCGCCGGGCAGGAGGGAGGCATGGTGCTTCTGCCCACTCCGGCTGCCCCGGCGGCGCTGCGCGGCGCGGCGCGGCGCGGTGGGGCGCTGGGCTGCGTGCGCTCGGCTTGGCTTGGCTCGGCTCTGCTTCGTTCTGCAGGGTTTGCGGGCTCAGCTCCGCTCCGCTCGGCTGTGCTCCGAGCCTAGCCCGGCTGGGCTACGCTGTCGTCCGGGGTTCGGCCGC